AATTATACGTACACTTGCTCATTGGAGAATGCACGTTCTTATACCAACCAATCTGACAAGAAACAGAAATGTTAGAAGCACTGTGTGGACCAAAAAGACAAAAACAGAAACAAAACTTTTAACAAGGCTGAATAAACAATACCTGCTATGGTGCTATGGAGGGACTTGATCTGAACTTTCCTCTATTAGCCAAGACTATCTTAGAAATTCTCCTGATTCAAAAGAAATTTTAGTGTAAAATGGCTTTGGAAACAAATCTGATTCTTCTGTCTTCTTTGCCTCTCTTATTAATAACTGAATCATCTAAATTGAATATCCTAGACACGAAGAACAAATATTGTATGATTCCATTTATATCAGATACCTAGAGTAGTCCAATTCATAGAGAGAGAAAGTAGAATGGTGGTTGACAGGATTCGGGGGAAGTTGTTCTTTAATGGGTACAGAGTTTTAGCTGGGGAAGATGAAAAAGTTCTGCAGATGGATGGTGGTTATGACAGCACAAAAATGTGAATGTACTTAAATGTCTTTGTATACTTAAAAATAGTTAAAATGGTAAATTTTATATTGTATGTGTTTTGCACAATAAAAAATCTTAAATTTGAATTGCGTGTTTTATTCATTTGGGTTCAGTATTGCTTTTCTGTATGTGATGTGAAGTTCAGCTAGAATTGTACAAAACCTACTTTCAAGGAGCATGATCTGGGAAATGGTAAAGCATAGGTGGAAATGCAGGCAGTGACAGTGTCCCTGCCTTCTCACTGTAACAAAGGCTGAGGAGCATGTTTAGTCCTTTTAGGTGTATTTGCTTTCAATTTAGTAACCATTTACCAGTCCTGAATTTGGCCTCAGAATATCTGAGTCTCAGAGGCCTAAATCTACAAAACAAATTGAAAACTACAGTATTTCCCTTCTTATCCATGGAAGATATATCCCAAGACCCCCACTGAATGCCTGAAATTGTGATAGTGCCAAATCCCATATATACTATGTTGTTTCCAATACAAACATTCATATGATAAAGTTTAATTTATAAGTGAAGTACAGTAAAAGAAATTTATAAAAACAACTAAAAATAGAAAAACTATAATAATTACAATAATAAAAGTTATGTGTCTGTCTCCTTCCCTGATGAGATGAAGTGAAGGATGACTTAGCATTAGGCTACTCTTGACCTTCTGATGATATGTCAGAAGGAGGATCATCTGCTTCCATACTGCAGTTGACCATGGGTAACTACAACTGTGGAAAGTTAAACCACAATTAAGGGGTGACTACTGTAATAATAACCAAACAGTAGCACTTATTAAGTACATATTAAGCACCAGGATTAAGTACCAGACTGGATCTAGGTCAAGAAAAAAGTTATAGGCAGTTTACAAATATTATATATTAGCTTACTATCCCTGACTCACTATTTTGGTCTTTAAAATAAACAAAGCCTCACACATCCCATGTATTTCAGAACTAAGAAAACAAACAGAGACACACCTCTGTGCCAGTAACCATGCCAAAGAGTATGTCAGCCAGTAATATTTATGAAACTCACATGCAGCTGACAGGCCCACATACTGTGAAGTGGAAATTTTCAGAAAGGGTACATTTCAATCCATTAAAATCTCCTATGAACAAAAGCTTGCAGGTATAGACACTCTGATTTAGAAAGTCTATTCTTTTAGAAAGGAATCTAGTTCAATTATTATGGTGGGGGAAAATAATACATAAAAACAACAGTTCAAAACTGGTGGTAAATTCACCTCAAAGCAAAACCATTTCTTTGCTTGGTTAATGTAGCATAAGAGAAAGCGTGACTAGCAGATATAATTAAAGTATGAATCACAGGGATATTATCACAGGGATATTATATTATCACAGGGATAAGTCATGAGTAACCCTGAGAGCACCTATAGGGGAAAAAAAAAAAGTCCATCATAACCTACTAAATTTAGAGACTAAAGGATGAAGGGTTGGAGGAAAAATCTTAATTTCATGTAAATTCAATATGGGCCTGAACGGAAACACTGATAATGGCACTGATGCATTGTTGTTCCAGCATCTGTGTGAGGCTCTGTAACATAGCATATTAAGCTTAATGTATTATGGGTACTCATTCTTGATGTTTTCTATTCCTGGAATTACTTGAGGTAAGGTACTTTGCTTTATTTGTTTTTCCATATAAGTCACTTCTTGACTTAGATCCTAATAATGTAGATAGTTGGCATAAAACACGCAGTTACACATGTGAATGGGTAAATGATAACACATATCTTAGAATCTAGAATAAATGTATACTGACATACAAGACTTTTTAAGAAAAGAAAAATGACATCCAATGTATTAAATGCTACTTATCAAAGACTGTTGATACATTTGAAAGAATTAATCACAGGATTTTTATTTAATGAAAAACAGAAAGAAGTTGTTGTATTTTATCCTATCTCATATCTCAGCAGTTGGCACTGCATTCAGTTGTTTGGAACATCAATACGGCAAAAATTGAAAAAAAAATTTGTTAGGGTTGACTTGTTTTTTGTCTTTCAGGCTGTGTGAAGAATATAAAATTGTTTCAGGTGAAAAACAGCCCCACTGCTTGGGCCACTCCATTAACTGACAAATTGCATTTTTGCCCACTGTCTGACCCTACCTACCCAAATGAGGAGTATTTAACTGACAGACATAGGTTAGACACTGGAGTTAAAATGGCTCTAGTGATGATTGGACATTCTGCCAATATTTAGAGGTATAATGATACAAATATGATTGGAAGGTAAAAAAAAAAAAGTCCAATTTCCTTGCTCAGAAGAATTTATTTTATTTAAAATTTTTGTTTTAACTGGTATAGCCCCTCTGGAAAACAGTGTGGAGGTTCCTCAAAAAATTAACAATAGAACTCCCCTATGACCCAGCAATAGCACTGCTAGGAATTTACCCAAGGGATACAGGAGTGCTGATGCATAGGAGCATATGTACCCCAATGTTCATAGCAGCACTCTCAACAATAGCAAAAACATGGAAAGAGCCTATGTGTCCATCAACGGACGAATGGATCAAGAAGATGTGGTTTATCCATACAATGGAATACTACATGGCAATGAGAATGAAATCTGGCCGTGTGTAGCAACATGGATGGACCCTGAGGGTGTTATGCTGAGTGAAATAAGTCAGGCAGAGAACAAATACCATATGTTTGCATGTATAGGAGGATTAGGAGGAATTTAACGGAGGACCATAGGGGAGAAGAAGGGGGGAAATGGTGGGGGAGGGGGAGAGAGGCAAACCATGAGAGACTCTTGAATGCTGAGAACAAACTGAGGACTGATAGGTGTGGGGGGTGAGGGGAGAGATGGGCATGAAGGAGGGCACTTGTGGGGATGAACACTGGGTGTTATATGGAAACCAACTTGACAATAAGCTACTTGTAAAAATAAGTAATCACCATACATAAATATTCACATTAGGTAATTGTGTTTCAAACTCAAATTTTCACAGAAAATTAAAATCTCTTGTCACTGAAAAAAAAATAAAATAAAATTTTTGTTTTAAGTTTATTTATTTTGAAAAAGAGCTCGAGCACGGTAGAGGCAGGGAGAGAAAGAGAGAGAGAGAGAGAGAATTCAAGCAGTTTCTGCACTGTCAGCGCAGAGCCCTATGAGGGGCTATGGCCTGTGAGATCATAATCTGAGCCAAAGTCAAGAGTCCAACATTTAACTGACTGAGCCACCCAAGCACCCGTTTGGCTCAGAAGAATTTAAGTCAAAGCCATCAAATACACTATTTACATCATCTTATCTTAATTTAAGGTTTATGTGCTATTTTTAATGTCCATGTGTACTTCTTTTAAAAAAATTGAAACTGAAATTCTTGACAGTCTCTGAAACTTAATTGGGAAAAATGTAAAGTACATTAATGGAATTTTTCCCATGATCTGTAGAAGATTTTTTTTAAACAGATGGTTCAAATGGACAAAGCAATGAAAACACAGAAATTAAAAGCAGATACTTAAGAAAAATAACTGAGTTCCCAGAAATACTATGGATGATGGCAGGACTGGATGTAAGGCAGCACTTTGTTCTGCTGTCAAGGTTTGGAGAGAACAGTAATTTATTAGGTGATCCTCTATCTGAGAAGGAGTTACTGACTCTTGGTAGGAATTAACTATTCATTTGGAACTCCATCCAACGTCAACAATTTGAAAATCCTCGTGCTTGTAGGATAATTCCGTCTAGGGGCCAGTAAAATATATAGTATTGTGATTGTAGGTATTCTTCTAGAAGTAGGAGCACCTAAGTCCAAGGGGCGTATCTGGGGGATGAAGATGATCTAAGATCTTTCCACCTTCGTAGCGACTTGGAAACACAACGAACATCCCAAGGCCCACGAACCTTTTCATTTTCAGTATAAAACCTCTGACTTTCTTAGATCAAGGAAGTGAGCAGTAGGAAAGAGGCAGGAAAACTTTTCAACCTGTAATTTATACGCATTCGGTGGAAACGTGTGAAATAAAATCTAAACTAATGCTAGAAAGTAGCATCTTCCAACAGGGCTTCAAAATGATTTCTCAGACTTTACGGAAAGTTAAAGTTTGTTTCTCTCCCAGACAGTTTTAGGGAGTGGGTGGTGAGGAAGACGCGTAGGGGAGGTACCTAGAGAGTTTGAGATCCTTTTGGGGCGTGGAGGACCCCAGAGTGCCGCCGTGGGCCCGTCAGCTCCAGGTGCCAGGGAGGAGACAGAGTTGACGCCCTGGGCGAAGGCGTGAGCGCAACTGCGCGGTAGACGCGCAGCCCGTGGGCCAAGTGCCGGCGGGTGGGTGGCGGCCGAGGGTGACTGGGAGAAGGGGCGGGGTGGCGCGGGTGGGAGAGCGGCGGCGGGAGGAGGGTCTCCCAGCCCAGGCCCGATTTGCAAGCTCTCTGAGCCTGCGTCCGCAGAGGGGGAGGGCTTCCCTGGCCGGGCCGCCGCGGCTCAGAGCACAAACGACTGTCAAGAGACGAGGGGAGTGGAGGTGCCGGAAGTGTGCGCGCGCCGTGAGATAACTTTCCTGCTCCGGCCGCGGCCCAGAGCCTCGGCCGCCTCGTTGTTCGCAGCGACGATGCGCCCTGATGACACTGACCTGAGCGGACCCGCGCCTCGGCCCACCGCCGGAGTCTGCACACTCCTCGCCGCAGGGGGAGAAGACTGAGCCCGGAGGCGTCTGCGCGCCGCGGGCGCAGGCGGCGCGGCTCTCGGGGCCCGTTTCCTCTGCGCGGTCCCCCAGCGTTGGGCTCGCTCCGCGCGGTCGTGCGTCCTCCCCGCCCGCCGCGGTCGCCGGCTGCCCCCGCCCTCCCTGCGGGTCCGGACGTGCCCCCGGCAGCCACTGGTAGCGCCTGTGCCATGGGGCTGCCTACTCTGGAGTTCAGCGATTCCTACTTGGACAGCCCGGATTTCAGGGAGCGCCTGCAGTGTCACGAGATTGAGCTGGAGCGAACCAACAAATTCATTAAAGAGCTCATTAAGGACGGCTCCCTGCTCATTGGGGCGCTGAGGAGTAAGTGGAGGGGGCAGGCGATGGTGCGGCGCGCAGGGGTGTGCGAGCCCCCGCGGGGTGCGGGTCTCAGGCGTCGGGTGGAGGACTCGGGCTTCTTTTGTTTGAATGGGTTCGGGACAAAAGCTGAAGAGCTCCCCTGCTGGTGGCCAACAAAGTTTGTTCTTAGGTGTTCTTAAACACTTTAATGTCTACAGAGAAGGGGAAGTTTTCCACTGGACACATGAGTGTATCTTGAGGAAAGTTGTTCAAAGTCATCTTTCAGTATAACGCCCCTGGGAAATGTTGGAGACTCTTGGTCCTTTTTTGTGTGTGTAATTTTATTGTGCCTGGTTTGAGCACTTTTTAAAAAGTCCTGAAGGAGGGATTCAAAAGTTTGTCTTAAGGATAAAATGAAGGTAGTTTAGTGACAGTCAAAGAAAATTATTAAACTTCTTATGTGTATCAGTGGCTCTTCACTGGGCACAATCGATCACAGAATTGGCTTTAAAAAATAGACATTTACAATTTCATCATTCAGTAGGATGATGGAGATAATCGAAGGCAGCATGGCACCAGCGGATTTAGTCTCTACCATTATTTTTGTGCGTCCTAATTTTTGGTTTATATTACAAATCTGATGTTGGTCGAATCACTGGGGATGAGAGTTCAGTGGTTAAAGGCCAACCAGAATTTCTGATGGTTGTAGAAGTAAAAACTGCCCTTAGGGATTTTTCCCCACTTCCTTTTCCGAGCCGATGTTTTTACTCCCTCCTCCATCTGTTGGTTCTTCACTTTCAATTACTAAGACCTAAGAAAGTCTTAGTTAAAGAAACTCCAGTTTTTCTTAGAGAAAATGGAGTGACTTAACTTGTTACCTTTCCCAGGACGTATTTGCATCTTAATGGAAGCTTCTGAAGGTTTTAGGTACTGAAATGAAGCTCTGAATTCTCTGGCCTCTGATGGCTGGGTGAGCGAGGTATTTTCATAAGATGGAGAGCGTTTGGGCGATCTAGCAATTCCCAGAACAAATGTAGGGGAACCATTCCGGTGTGTGTCAATTGGAAGGTCAGTAACAACGTGATGGTGTTGTGTGTGTGCCCAAAACTGAGACATTAACATCTGATCTGTATTTTGAAGTATGTGTTAATGGTAAGGATAGAGCTTAGCAAAATGTCTTGAAATAAGTGTGCTCCCAAATCCTTTTAACTATCCTGAATGCTAAAACATTTACTTCTTACTTGTGTTACTTAACTAGGGTAAAGAAAATACATTTTATGCCTACATTCACTTAATTTCTGAGTTTGAGGCTACTACAGATTAACAGTAGTCACTGATTTGTGAAAAAAATAATTTATCTGAGGTTCTTTCCATTCTGTACGTACAAAAATGTGCACTCTCCTTCTTTCTGGTTTGCAAATTCTGGTTGAGTTTTCAGGGCTAGCATCTTTGCATTTTAGACTCTTCCAAAAGAGTTTCCCTGAGTGCTGAGTGCCAAGCTGACTTCTGCGGGAGCTGCCAGGTGGTCTACAGGTGACATTTTCTCCTCACTTTGCTGGGGAGATCAATTTTAGTGTTCCAAAAATTGAAAACACTTCCATAGCTGTGATAAAAGCTCTGAAATGCATGTTATTTTACTAGTAATAGTATGTACTTTATTATGATTTTTGAATCTAGTCTTACAAAAATCAGGTAATTTCTGTCCTAGTAAGTTGGTTTTTCCATGTATAAGCGAGGAAATCATGACAGTGTAAGTTCCTTGAAAATGCAGAACCTGTCTCATTCATAAGCACTTAAATATCCTGCTGTCTTTCTAGGATTCTTAGGTTTGTGATGAGAGTACAGTATTTTAATTAACATTTGGTTATTATTTATATTATTTATTTATATCATTATATTATATCATTATGGAAGGAAGACATTTTATTCCTTGTTGAAAGAGTTCCCAACATCAGCTGCCAAATAGGGATTTGGAGCAGAGGAGCTCTTGAAGTCACATGATGGAACTTCTTTTTTCCCACCAAGCCACCTTCTTTCTGTCCCTTGGGAAGGATGCATTGAGGCTAGGCTGCAGCTGCTAAGTGCCAGCTCTCGGAAGATGCTCAGCTAGGTTAAGAGTGTGCCTACAGGACTTTGAAGCCTAGTTATAGTTCTATCCCAGATCCATCAAGAGCAAGCCCTCCTTTCCCCAGTTCTGTACGTTCTGACTGTTTTTCTTTTCTGCCTGAGGAAGCCTTCACCTTCCCTAACTTTAAACTATGTGTTTCCATTCTCTGTACCTACTGTTTCAGTAAGTGTATCCATTATCCACTTCAGTTTTATTTTTAGCACTTTGCTGTTATTTTCAGTAATAATTAATGGTTCCTTAATATAGCCTTCCTGAGCTGACAGTCATCATCTAAGCATCTTCGATTATTTCTATCCTAGTTCATAGCTTTTCTGGTGAGAATTTTGGCATGGACTCTTGGATAACACATATGTAACTGTTTCAGTAGGAGTCACATATGCTTTTTTTTTTTTTAATAAAACTTTTTTTTAATGTTTATTTATTCTTGAAAGAGAGACAGAGTGAGCAGGGGAAGGCAGAGAGGGACTGATACAGAATCCAAAGCAGGCTCCAGGTTCTGAGCTGTCAACACAGAGGCTGATGTCAGGCTTGCGCTCATGAACAAAGAGGTAATGACCTGAACCAAAGCAGGAGGCTTACCCTACTGAGCCACCCATGTGCCCCAGGTAAGGAGTCACATACGCTCTTTGATTTTTACTTCAGGATGTAAAATGTAGGATGTACCTTTTGTGAGAATTACTTAAAGTGAAACTACACAAAGGCAAGGGTGGGCATGTTAGAAGTGTAGGCTGGTAGGTATGTTCAGTGTCAATTTCAGGAGTATTATCAGTTATAGCCCCCTAATAAAAGAATCTCAACAGGAGAGGATCATCAGTTATGGCCCCCAACAGGGAAAGGTACATTGCATTTCCTATAAGAAATCAGCTATTCCTGTAACTCAACCAATGAGAAAGCATCATCACTCTGAACTCTTGCTTTTCTCCAATAGATTTTTGTTCAGAACATCCCCTCTCAACTTCTTACAACTTCTCCATAAAATAACATTTCTCTTCTTTGTTTTCTGGATTTACCAATGGTTTTGCAATAGCTTGCTTGTTCAAGATTTCAGTTCTCTTATTTACGGATAAACCCATTTTTACTGGTAAAATAACTGGCAGTGTTATTTTTAAGGTTAATATTTTCTTTAATAAAGTATTTAGAAGGGTGCTTATAAAGGAAAATCTTGCTTGACTAGATGATTTCAGGTTTAAATAATATAAGTAAGATACTTAACATTCTTAAAAAAATTACTGCTTTTTGTGTTCACATCCGCTTTAAGAAAATGGATGACAGGTAATTAAGTGGATTGATATAGACCTGAATTTAAATTCTGGTGCTGTCAGGGGACCCTGGGTGATACAGTCCATTAAGCGTCCAACTCTTGATCTCGGCTCAGGTCATGATCTCATGGTTTGTGGTTTATCCTATCTCTGTGCTGATGGCGTGGAGCCTGCTTGGGATTCTGTCTCTTCCTATCTTTCTGTCCCTCCCCGCCTTGTATGTGCTCTCTCTCTCTCTCTCTCTCTCTCTCTCAAGATAAATAAACTTAAAAAATTAAAAAAAAAAGAAAAAATAAATTCTGGTGCTGTCAAATGCTGTGTGGTAATTGGTAAGTAACTTAACCTCTGTGAGCCCTATCTTTCCTGTATAATGAAGGAATATCTATGAATATCCTACCACCAGAATTATTTGTTCATTTGTTACATGTCATACAGACATTTGGTGAGCAATATTTGAGAATATTTGATACTGGAGAATTGGGTTGTAGTTCATGCTGTGACTCAAAATCCTCCACCCTTTTAATCAAATGCTATTCTATGAACTTTGTTCCTTTAACAGGTGTCAGCCTTAAAGTTTGAGTTGTGAAATCATTTTCCTTCTTTTTATTGATTTTTGCTTATTGATTTTCTTCTTTTATAGATCATATTCAAAGAATTACCTCAAAATGGCTTTCTCATATAACACTCCCTTTACTTTATACTTAATTCTTATGCTTATTCATACAATCTTAAAAGCAAATCAATTTATGAATTAATTAAAAATAATGTGAAAACAATAAAAAAGCTTGTCAACTACATTTAATTAATCTAATGGTTGATGATGATTTACTGAAATTTCCTATTATATAAAAACTGCTGATAGTATCTTGTATGTTGATAATTCATTTTCTCTTTGCTTTTCCCAGTTGAAACTGGGAAGTTCTTCAAAACTACTTGCCCAGAATGATGGCCTTCTCTCTATTGCAAACTATTTATTTAGCGGTCATGTTGCCTCTGTTCTTAAGGAGTAGTGCCTGGCACAGTGATCCATGACACAAATAAGAAGGGCACCTATTTGAGTGGTAGAAGTTGGTTGCTTTTAAGTTTAGATGTAAAATATGCAGTTAATGAAGACATTAGGACCTGAGGAAGAGGGAAACACACAATTTCTGGTGTCTGCTGCCTTGTGTATTCTCAGACCTCAGTTTGAAGTACGCTATGGTACACTTGTGATCTGGGGATTAAGTAGTTGTTTACCTGGGATGCAAAGGCTACCTTGAGATACTGTGAAATGGGGGACGGATCCCTGCCTTCTGCTTGCTATATGTCTCAAACTCACCTTAGTTTGGTTTCACATGTTTTTTCACTATTTTGTGTATATGTTCTGGGCCCACTTTACTAGTGTAGTTTTTGGAGACACAGGGAAGGAGTTAAATGAGCAGTTTAAGAAATTTGAGACTTTCTGTAGTTATGTGCTATTTACTTGGTCATCCTTTAGCTTTTAGTAAAAATTGGTATTGTTTTTGGCCATTTTTTGTATTTAAACTTGTACCTAGGTTTTATTTAGTTTAAATGGAACTCATTGTAGCTTCTTGTTTACCCTGCAAGAGCTCCTTCACTGCTGCTTCTTCCACTAAGGTTGTTTTGCTTGTTTAGCT